CTGAGTGAGTTTCCCTGCTAGCTTCTTGTACAGTTTTGAGCTTTTATTCTGGTGGTCTCTTGTCCCTAGTGGTCGGTGAACCAGATTTGAATGTTTGAACCCGGGTTTCCCTTCATCTTCCCTGAGTTTCCCTGCTAGCTTCTTGTACAGTTTTGAGCTTTTATTCTGGTGGTCTCTTGTCCCTAGTGGTCGGTGAACCAGATCAATTTGAATGTTTGTTGACGATGTCTTCGGTGGACTGCCACGCTTCCATAAATTCGCATTCTTCAGTTGCTCTTGCTTGGGTCCATGTGCGAACATCCCTCCAGTCGGATCGTTGGTCTATGTGCCCCAAGATGAGTGAAAATTGATCGCGCCTTTTGCAGCAATTTCGTATTCCTTTTGCTTCTCTTGTCATTGTCCTTTCATTGAGTCCAGTATATAACATTGTTCTCCACTTGTGCACCTCAGTTCCTTTTGGCTTTCACCGAATCCTCCACAAGATGTTAGCAGGTTATACCACGTTGTCGCACAGGCTACGCAGTCACCTCAGTGACGTACTTAATACGGGAGTGGGAGGAGTTTGCCTTCGCTTTGCGCTGTGGGTTAGTCGTATTTAGCTTTTTGGATGGTCGTCAAAGAAAACTGATTACTCATTCTTTAAAAAAGCCTGCACAAGTGTTCTTCTCTGTTGATCTTGGACTCTGTAATGTTTAGATCCTCTTGAAAAGTGCCCGAATGCAGCTTGCTTTGTAAAAATTTGGATGGTTGATTTGGTAGCTCAGAAATTTAGTCCATATGCGTCGCCCTTCGTTACAACTCGGTTTTTAGCCGTTTGCTTGGTAATCCAATGATAAGGACGTCCAGAAATGCCAGTTTCTCATCGTCAATTTCTTTCATTATTAATCGAATGCAATGTTGCTCAGTGGTTGGCTTATTCGTTCCCGTTCATTCCTCCTTATGAGAAGAGAAATGTCACCCAAGTGGCGGATCCACATTCTGGGATTCATATCAGATAATGCAATTCGTTCTAGGGTTTCTGTTGCGATTTTTGTGGTAAATCCTGAAATTGGGGACCCCGATAGTTGATTGCAGCGTTTTCCGTTGACTTCAAAATGTGGTCAAGCAGAAAAATTGGCAGAGGTCTACTTACTCTATCTATTCAGTTAGTAGGTCACAGTTAGTAGGTCACAGTTATCCAACAACTCGGTAACAGAACTCTAAGCAGTCGACGTCTACTGATGTGGAAATTCAGCTTACATCAAATGATAACATTATTCCGTCGTGACTGATGTTTCCATCTTTCAGTTTCTTCAGAAGTCTTCCAGCATTGTAGACTGAGCATTGAAAACCATCGATAAGCTATTTTAGGTACTCCCACAGTCCCTTCGAAGGACTTTAGTTCAGTGTTTCAGGGAGTGATACGATTAGAAGCATCAGGATCACCGACCAAATCAAAAGAAGGCAGACCACAACTCAACCCAAACCACAATCGGGCCAGTGAACTCCCGAGACTAGCTCCAAATTAGCCAATCACGTTGAGGGATAGCAGATACGATACAAAAGCTATATAAATGGACACCGGTAGGAAGGAAGAATCCACACAACCGCGTACTGATGACATCTCCTTATTTGGTGACAAAACATTTGTAAACTGATTGTTGGCTTGACAGATTGGCTTCACTTTCATCATGACATCGATGTGAAACATCCAAATCCACACACCAACCAAACAAAACATCCTACAACAGCCTGGGAGTGTGGGTTTTCTTATCTTAAAACAAGCTATTCAAGAGATTTCAACATCGGTACGACAGGACAATAGTCCAAGACTTACGGTCATCATGAAGTGTGAATCAGTATTACCAGAGAGAAGAAATCCAATGAAGAAGCGTATTTTGGAATGAAAGCCCAAGTGGTGGTATTACACATAGGTCAAGCTGAACCGTACTGAAAAAATATCTTATGGATTGAGTCGAGAGAAATCAGCTATCATGCGTTCTTGAATTGCCATGTAGGAGTCATCCGAAGCGCGCTGCGCCGATGGAAGAAAACTGGGGAGGCCGCGAACATGCAGGTTGACTGACTGGAAAACATGTTGATTTGGGTCAAAAAACTCCAATGGGTCGGGAGCCGGAAACACCTACAATGAAGAAGCGAAAAATGTGGACACAATTAACACACACACACAATGGTTACCAATGGCAGTGACCATACGAACCACGAACAGTGTCCTATCCTAGGTTGGGAAAAAATTCCATCCTGGTGACATCTTTCGTCTTCGGAGCATACTACATGGTCAGGTTTCAACGAAACCCTTGAATTGTTCAAAAATAGATATGTTGGAAGATTACGAATAGACATACGATAAAATTTTCATAAAACCGAGTGAGTGGTACTTGTCTTTGATTTGTCCGTAAAACGCGGTGTACTCTGTCCTGTTGTATGGTGGATAGATTGGCGCTCTGAGCGATTGTGGCCATGAGGACTCACGGGCACATCTATTCCATTTACATTCGCTTCATTTTGTATCAAACTGAGAGAAACACACCTTCGGATTCATCCCGTATGATATACACAACAGTGTTTCTATGCGCACCCAAGTTAGGATCAGTCCACTGTGGGCTTGGTTGTCAGGTTGTATCAAGTGTCATAAGCAGTTACCCCGCGATGCTTAGTTGACTGAGAGAAGGTCATTATCCATTATGAGCCATTGATCGGGACCATAAAAGGATCGGAGAATTAAAACAAATGGAATCCGGAAAGACGATAAAACCAGACCAACAATATTTCCGTGGTCTAGCTATCATCAGGCCAAAAAGCAAGGAAAACTGCGACCAATGTGACGAAACGATATTCCTTTACACATCGGACTACACGCATGAAACGGACAGTAGTAGAGTACGAGACTAAATAACTCGTTTCCAGATGGGAGGCGATGGTAGCGATGTGACGAGGCTAGTTAGCACATGGGAAGGTGGAGGGCTAAAAGTTTAAAACCCTTACGGTCTCGAGAAAACGATTGGTGGAAGGTCCTTTGCATCATGATGCTAGTGGGTTACAAACAGATGAATGTCACTTTAGGCGAATCCACTATATATCACTCCACAAGTGACGCGACGCACACTGAACAGTAACAGCGGCCAGACAGTCCGGTCGGAAACGGACAGCACGCTCAGTCCTTGGTAAGATGACGTGCCGGGTGACGCCCACAATTCCGAAACTATATCCATGGTTGTGTGGTTGAATACAGAGTCTCGTAATAGGACATGTCTTGCGGTCAAGACCCATTACTGACGAAATAAATTAGCAGTCACCGTCATCATCTGAAAAACAGAAACTCACCTGCCACACCACAACCATATGGTTATAAAAATATATGAGCGACCCCACAGGAAGACTTGGTATCTTCCAAACGAAAAACAATGCCGAAACAAAAGACCACTCCCGATGGGGCAAACAGACGAAGGCCAAGCAATGAAAACGTCTGTACAGTTCAGTCATTTTGTGTATTTGCAGTATCAAGTGATATTTTAGGTGTTACGCGACAATCCAGTGTAAAATAGCCTGGTTTCATCGGGAAAAGAGGAGTAACCAAGCGGACATGAGGATAGTAATTTATGTGAGCGAATCTTAAAAGTATTGGTTCCTATATCAGGCATCAGTCAAAATGTAAACACACGTAAGATGGTCACACTCTTCGTGAGTTACGGGCATAAACAGGCGTCCACTAGTCATACGTGCTGCAGGATCACCAGCTGACAATCTCGAAGAGTCACATCGAAAACGATGCTTGCATGTAATAAAACAGGACTGTCTTCTTGAAGCCCAGGGGAGAAAACATCTTTCCAATGGAAGCTGTGCGTACTCTCAAATGTATTTTATTGCAAAAACTTGCTAGACACTCACAAAAACAACCTCTGAGTAAGGAAATGCCACTTAAGATGACTGTTAAAGTCACTCTCCAACACGTTTTACAGCAATCGGCGACAACACGAAGAAAGCAAAGGATACTGTAGCTAGTTTACGAAGGAACAACCGCCAGACGATAAACTTCAATTGGGCATGTGTGTTCAATAGTGGCAGTACCACAGCGGGAGAAGCGACAATGTAGGCATCCATGATGTGGCGTTTACTCTGATTCAACAAGTAAATGAAGCCTTTTTTCCACATTAAAATAACTTGAACAAGGACAAAAGCAAGGTAAGTCTCCACTGTTAGGTCCCCACTACTAGAGTGCTAGACTACGAGACCTTATCATGCTTTTCAACGCTATCCACATTTTGCGGATCAACAGACGAATGCCTAAAGCAACTTCGTAATATTGTCCAACAAGAACACTACAGACATCCACATAAACGTTCGGGACCGAAACGCCAGCATTGATCCCGTTGATTCGTCCGACCGCCAGCTAATTAGCAAGTCCCACTTGGAGTGACTGTCTCGTTGGTCTTTCAGACTTGAACCCGTTGCTTATAAGTAAAACCCGATAAACCGGGTCTTCATCACGTTCACAGCGTGCGTCGATGTGATGAAAATCGAATCCACATATGCGCCAACTTCACTTTAGGTCGTTTTCGCGACCAGAGACATCGGAAAAGCCAGCTCATCCTCAAAGTGGTATCAACTGCTACAAAGCAAAGTAAGTAGCAAACACACCACCGGTAATTCAATACATCCAACTACGGCCGGATTTGGCCGGCTTTTTATCTTGGATCAGTAGGGTGCAACAGTTCTACCCTCGTGTTGATGCAGCAGCATTGTCAGGGATAACAGCAGACTAGAATTACATTTTGATAGCTAACTAGCATAGAAAAATGGAGAAAGAAATCCTCAGTAAAAAGTACGGATATTGGAATGGTGTGGATTGGGACTTAATGCAAATGCCTTATATCCTTAGGGAAAATGATCAACCTTAGTACTCTGCTATGAAGGCCAACCTGACTGAAGTAGCAGCGCTGAATCCGGCTCAGATCCGACAAGGTCGGACCGTATCGTGGGATCTGTCACAAAATGCTTTCCGGTTCAGACAGTTCACTGTACGGGTTACTGAGAGCCATTAACAGATATCCAGACCCCCCAAAGAAAGCGAATAGGGCCATAAATGCTGTCAGACGTTATTTTTATTCTCCTATGGACCCCAGCCTTTCAGATCGATAAGGACAGTTGTGGCTGAGTAAATAATAAAACTTAGTCCTTCAGCCCTAACGCGCTTTCGGCGCTAAGCTGTCATGCTACCAGGACTGAGATAATCCCGGGTGGCTCAAGTATAGAGAGGAACAGTCGAGATGAAGAGGTTAAGTTCAAACCAGATCAGTAAATTCGCGTTACTGAGCCACATAGAGCTCGGTAGCTAAGTGGTCGCGGAACCTTGTTGTTTGACCATATGGATGAGGTCATAACTACCCCAAGTAGAAAGCGTCTTTAAAAGATCCCGGTCACGCTCGTGCTATATGCAAGATCTCCATAAAATACTTCAACGCTCAGTAATAGTAGGTATAAACAAACCACGAAGAAGTATTTGAATGTGAAGGTCAGACAAACTTTCATCGCACATCTAGCATATCTAGAAACACACTAGTTATACTCCCTTAGGTTACGATAATACTTCGTTTAATTGTAGTTCACAAACTAATGTTCAGTCACCGGCACCCAAAAACAACGGGTCACACGTAACCTACCGGTTTTTGCTTGGCAGCCTTCTTCCGTAACTGAGCCATGTGTTTTCGCTGGTTAGCAACCCGTTCTCGTTCTAGCCGGACAATTTCGGATTCGTCGACAGTCAATTCCATGAGATTGTTGAACGTACAAACATCATCGGGTATATTCACAGTTAGACCGGGATTAAGCAACAGCGATTCCGCGTTACTTTGGGAGGAGCCAGCACAAGCCTCCTCCACCAAACGAGCGGCTTCTTTACGTGCACGCTCACAAGGACCCTGAAAGTGCAAATGGTCAGACGATAATTCGGCTGTGAATATAACAGCCTGTGGTAATTGAACTCAGATTCTGTATCCCAGGTTCGCTGCTTGCCAATCCAAGACACGGGTCAGGACAGGTCCGCATGCGTTGCATGCATATACAGAATATGATATTGGACAACATTAAGTTAGAGAAACCTATCAGGCGTTCGAGACAACCGTGATGTTGGTGGTACTTCTCTAGAAAAGTGGTTCCAAAAACCTCTCAGTTGGCTTCACAGTCACGCACAGGAGTTAAGGATAACCATAGTTTAAAAACACCACCTTTGACATGATACAATCATTGCAATTAACCCTTAGTTTGATGGAGGGATACGATGGCAAGGAAGCAGTCCACGTTGTTCTTCTTCGACTACCGAAATCGACTATTGTTTCATTGGCTACGTCCAAATGCATTTGCAAATTTTTTTTACACTCGTCCTTTGATGTTCGCCTTTAAACAATCACTTTAGGTCGGACGCTTTTGGGTCCTAGAGCATGTTCCGAATAACTGATGTTGTTCACTCCAGCCTGAGTTGTGTTCCTAAGCTGAGGAGAGAACCAGAGCTCAATGCACAGCTTGTCACTAGATTTCGACAAATGTGGTGTGCTGTTACTGGTGTGCAAAAAACATCGTACATACGACACAACACGGGAAAGAGAAAGGGACACAGGACTAACTAAGCGTGAATACCTTGAGTTAATTTTATCCTCATATACTTACCCCGGCCACTTTTAATTCCTAAGCATATATCACCCACCAAGCTATTGAACCCGAAATGAGGCGCAGGCAAAATATTGTACCTTCAGCTCCAGTGAGCGCACGATACACTAAAGATCAAGGACGCTCTCCGATGAATGATTGGAGCAAACAGAATTATCCCGTCACAACTATTCGATTTTTCCTTTATTTTTTCATCCAGATGCAAAACCGCGAGATTTGGGCTGGCGCAAAACTCGCAGACAGTTTATGGATGAACTCCATGTAACTGCTATTACAGCGACTCTTGGTGAGACCGGTCAAAAACGGCAGCTCCGTTGGAGTCGCGAAGGTCCAGGAAAGGTTTAGTAAAGTTCCAGCTCAATGCAAGCATTCGAAGTTTGGTTGTACAAAAGAAAAGGTGTGATCGATGTTTTCGAGGAAAAATTTACCCCACTGTGGACACCTGAAACAAAACGGTTCTATATTGGTCATGAACTGAATGTGGTGGGGCCGACCAAGTGATCGGTCGAGTTGTAGAGACTTCACAGCTTACGTGACAAATAGAATGCTTTGTAACTTGGATGGTTAAGTTATTCCTTTTTTGGAACCATCCTCCCTAAGAACAACGTAACTTCCGCCAGACGAACCATTTTAAGATGGGAGATTCGCTATTGTCTTTAAAAAATTCTACCTTTGTGGGCATTCTTTAGGCAGCAGATCTTCCCAATGTATCGACCGATGGTTGCGTGATCTACATTGCGCCTGATTAAAAACATTGTAAGATATGGCCACCAATCGATCTCAGTGGTGTTCTTGTTGTTAGCTTCTATCCAGATTGCCTGAAAGTGTATCTGGTAGTGTACACACCTCGAAATGATTACAGTAAGCTAACACTTTACTCGTTTCTTTATCCTTTTCTTACGGTTCCGCCGGTCTTCAGACTAATCAGGTAGGCGCAGTCTCCGAGTTTCCGTCAACCTTATGTTCTACTTGAAACCTAATTGCACAGATTTATCGAAATACACTCATTTGCAAACAATTTTGGTTCCATGAGAGACTCACCTGGAATACAGCGGAGTCTCATTTGCAATGCCGAAGAATTTTCAGCAACCTTACGAATACTGTACTACATCTTGACTAGAATTATATATCAACTCCATTAAAGCAATTATATCCCTTCAGTTGTTTAAACAGAGCAGTGAGAAGACGCAAAATGGTGGATATACGCCTTTCGTATTGGATCGTCAGTACCAAATTAATCATTATCATCATCATCAACGACAGCATGAAATCAGTGTTCAACACCGATGCTTCACTGCCGTACAACCATGACTTATTTGAAAGCCTTATTGTGGACGGGGGAGGGACTTAGTGCTAGCTTAACACAATCATTCCGAGGTGCCTACACCTCCAGACATTCACTCAGGCAATCTGGATAGAAACTGACAACAAGAACGCCACTGACATCGGTTGGTAGCCATATCTTCTAGTGTCTTCAACCAGGCACAGTGAGTATCACGCGGTCCCCATCCTGGAAGGCGAAAAGCATCGACAGCACCCAAGCATTTCCTGATCTCCTTCATACTCCTCTGCCAAGTCAAGGGTTGGCCACCTCTCTGTTTACGCCACTCCGAATTGGGCATGGAAAACAGTACTCTCTTCGGCAGACGATGGTTCGGTATACATACCACATGTCCCAACCAACGCAGCTTCTGGTGCTGGACACATTC